CGGCAAGTCAGACGGAGGGCGTCATTCTGAGCCATTTCTCCAGGTCTGCTGCATCAGCACGGAAACGAGAGACTAGATTTTGGGCCACACGAAACAGTGTTCAACACTACGGGCAGTTTTCAGGGTGTTCCTGCGCCCAGTACGGCGAAGTAACAAAAATGTCGTTGAGATGGATCAGTGAGGAGTATTTATAATTCCTCCAAAACTTGAGAGTTTTGCGCGTGCGGTTTTTTCGCGCCGTCACTGGCTAGCACTTCGATGGATGCTCTTCTGCTGAAAATGGCTCGATATCCTGAAGGTAAAGGCCACATCCGCGCTGCCTACTATCGCACATGCCAGCGCCCCGGCGCCAAGCCTCTCTCCGACCAACAAACCAACCAACCTCCTTAGTCAACGACAGACGAGCCTGACCCTGAAGATGAAATCCCGGAAGGCATGACTCGATGGACTGTACACACTATACCCTAGTACCCAACCATCCTTTCGCGGCTTGGCTGTGCGATCTGCGTTCTTTCCCGTAGGTCCTTTGGGAAGGAAGCCAAGGGCCCTGAAAATCCCAATTTATAAGCAGCTCCGACGCTCGGAACACGACAGGGCGTGCGCCATGTTCAATATTGCTATGCAAACTGCAACCAACGTCCCCTTGTGTCGTCCCAGTTAGTGTAGGTGTATTGCACCCCGCCGGCCTGCAGCACCTCAACGTCCCCAGCCCCAAGCGAACGTTGATATGGAGTGCCTCGTAGTGAAAACGAAGTCCGAGGTGAGGTGAGATCCTAGACAGCCCTCAGAGCGGCAAAGTCGACCTTGCCTGGAACTTGATTGAGTACGTAGCGACGTGGGTAGGCACCTTCACAACCTAAGCGGTATGATGCCAGGGAAGGTGCCTTAGGTTCCCGTCCAGGTACCTACCTTATGTAAGGTAGTAGGTAGGTAGAACGGGCGGGTAAGCAGCCCAGCCATACCTAGCACCCTTGTCCCTTCAGCGTTCCGCATGCACGACGCGTCCCCGAGCAATAGACCATGGACACTTCAGAGCGCGTCGTTGCCCGCCTCGTTCAGCCTCATCAACAACATTCAATTCTCGCATCGGCCCAAAACCGTCGTCCCTTCAATTGACAGTCATTTGAGGGTCATGGCTCGATTTTCGATTCCCACCAAACGGTCCCTGTCTTCAGATGTTCGACTTCCGACCTCCAGTGCCGCAGTCCAGAAAGCTCTTACCAGGCTTTCACGCCCTTCTCTTCTCACGCTGGCCCTGGATTGGATCAGCGATGAGAATGTCTCTTTATGCGTACCGCTTTTAGGCGACGATGTTGATGAGGACGGGTCATACCAGCCCGCCACATCACTCGAGGAACTGCGCGCTATCTACAAAGATTGGCAATGCAGGAATGGTTCCAAGAGGGAGGTTCTCGACCGGGTGACAGAGGGCGATTGGCAGCATGGCCTAACTCTGTATCAATTAGCCATGGCAGACGCACAGTACCTTCAGGATCACCCTTATTCGCAGAGATGGACTGCCTATCGCATTTTGCCTCTTAAGGACATCTCTATCGTGGACGACGAGCAGCGTCCCCCCGACCTGGATAGAGAGTCATTGAAACTACCACGCTTTCATCCCTCGACCTTCATACAAAACCTTCAATCTCACGTCTTACCAGACGTCAAAGCTCACTATCATATCCATCGACCGCAGGGCCTCGCCATGTCAGTCTTGCGCATTTTCATCATCGAATCCCCTTACAACATTAGCATGGCCCACCTTGGAGATAGTCTCGCGCCCCCGGACTCCGATGTTGATTGCTCGAGGACACTCTACATGGCATTTCCAGATGCTTCACACTACATTTACTTGTCAAAATCACAGACCATAGGGTCGCTAGGCGCAGCAGAGTCCAAAAGCTTCCGCAACCTAGTTATTGAGGGGATTCCCAAGGCGTTGTCTCGGCCACGAGAGAGGTACATGCTGAAACCCACAAACATCTCGACCAAGAATATTTCGGCCCTCCTACATGCAAGAGGTGTCGGTCGTGCAAACTCGGTTGGCGGCGGATGGAATCTCTATGCCGACAAAAAGAAGAACGAGTCACCGCTTGACAACACGCTGCCCACTCCGCCGTTGTCTGAAGAATCGTCCGACGAAAGCTCGAACCCGACGAAAAGGACGGCTAACAAAAGGAACGGTGACGCACTCTATGACAGTCACTGTTCGTTGAAACGGGCTCGGCTTTGCGCTCAGGCGAGGTTCAGTAGCGCTGCCAGGCTGGATGACGGCTTGGGTGTCGAGCGCGTGGATGTTGTCATCGAAGACCCTTTTCCTGTTCGACGAATATATGGTGTGGATGACGAGGGAATGGGTAGTCATGTCTCAAATGACGAAGTATCGGGTTGGATTCCCAATGTGAAAGTCGCTCTGTATGGGGCCCACGTGTTCGCTGGCGTACGATGGCTGGTTGAGAACGGTATTGTAGAGGGACAGCGGATGCCGGGATGGTTAACAGGCGAAGAAGGAGTCACCCTTGGGGCTGTGCGGCACGGAAGAATCAGAGGGCACAGAGGATCTGGATTATAAGACGAGATAGACGGCCGAGGCTTAGATCGGAGCATCTGGAGAAGGGCCTGTCTTGTCACTATTAGCGTAGCGCCCTGTCGCATTTCTATACCCCCCATTGCCAGTCCCCTTGATGCAATCAACATCGTCTATTGGTCTACGCCAAAAACCTTGATCGTGTTACTCCAAGCTACCTCGCAGACTTGCTCAACATCTACTTCCTTAATGCCGGCCACAGCCTTGGCAACTCGCTCGATGGTACACGGTTCATTGCGGCCCTTAATCATCGCACCTTCTTCCCACTTCTCCTTCTTGACGACCTTGAAGCGTTCCGGCACCTCGGACTCTTTCTTTTGGTTTTTCTTCTTCGTATGGGGCTGCGCAGCAATATCCGTGCCTGCAGTGGTAGTGAGACCATTCACATCTGGCTTCCTCTCGATCAAGTACTTGTAGCCAAAGTGACTAGGCCGAATCTCGCACCAAGGGCCGTCGGTCTCCAACATCATCTTATCTAAAGCTATCTCTTTGACGACTTTGCAGTTCTCTTCGGTCTTGAAGCTGCAGCCATTGATGCCGATATAAAGACCTAGATCCATCAGTTCCATGGCCTCCTCGATAGTGCCGGTGAAACTGTGAACAACGCCGCCTTTCTCGAGCTTCTCAAGCCTCTCGCCAAACTTCTGCTTGAGCAGGCTCACAAAGTCTTGGTGGGCGGCTCTGGAGTGTAAGAAAAGAGGCAGCTGAGGCTTGATTTCTAGAACGAGATCGAGCTGTGCAGCGAATGAATGCAATTGAATGGACCTTGAACAGTAGTGCAGACGGTCATAGTCTAGACCAAACTCGCCTAAGGCAACGAGACCGGCGTTGGAGGCAGCCGCATGATTGATGAGGCCTCGCAGCTCGGAGACTATGGCCTCTGTCTTGGCAGGGTCTGGCTGATGGTGCTCGGGGATAGCCTGAGCTGGATCGGGATCGGAATTTGCACCCTCGGCACCCTCATCTAAAGTGCTGAAGATTGAACTACTGCACGGATGGATGCCGATGGTGGTGTAAACGATGCTGGCTAAGCTATATGTCAGCATGGCTCAACATAGTGCGTGTTATCCGTCATTTACGCACGATACTGCTTGGCGATCTCGAGGGCATCTCGGCAACTGGTAAAGTCGGACCCGGTGACAATCAGCTTGGAGCAGCCGACTTGCTGTGCCCTGCGGATGACCGCGTCCAAGTCATCAGGATGGCGTCTCTTCCCATGATGCATGCCGCGGAAAATGGGATCGGCCAAGTTGATGCCGATCTAATTATCAACTACGGTCAGGTCATGCTCAAAAGCTATCAAGTGCGAGTGAGGTTACACACATCAATGTACCTTGGCTGAAAAGCCGACTTGGGCGCGTCTGCGGCCGCCATGGTGACGATGGAAGCTGACTTGAGAAAGGTTCGTCGTTGTTGAAGGAGGGGTATGATCCAATGGTTGGGCCGTGATGGTGCTATTGCAGGCGCATGGAGCCTCATGAGGAGCCAGGAAAGAACACGGCACTGAGACAAGTTCGACCCTGAGCACCAGTTTTCCTGAAATTTATACCACACCAAGGCAAATTACTAGGTAATTCCGTAGTCAGAGCTTGCCTCGCTATTTGGCCTCACCACTCGGCCTCACCAGATCACGTGAGTGCGTGATACGCTGCAAGCATGGTGTCCACTCTAGCGACACGCGTTAAGTGCCTGCAGCTTTGACGAAAAAAATCAATTAAAGAAAATGGTACATAGCCGCTTGGAGGACACATGAGCACCTGTTGCATCTTTTCACAGGATCTCCAGTCCCGCCACTTCAACTTTTCATTTCTTGATCAAAAATCTGACGCAGATGCAAGAAATTAAGCAAGACGCTGAACTGAAGTCATCTCGCACGTTGCAAGCGGCAACCCGACTCTGGCACGAGCACCCTCAGTGGAGTTTAGTCGTCTCGGGACTGATTTCGAAGGCTAGGTAGGATTAGTCAAGCTGTTGTTGTTGTCTCCCAGGTTGGCTGGGGAGTCGGATGCGAGGGCAAAGACCGCAAAACCGAGGGGCGGAACTCTGACTAAGGAACAGTGTAAGGAGGCCGGACGGTGTTTTTAGCGAATCATGTTCGTAAGAGCGTGCTGCCCCTCTCTGGCTCAGGCGCGTCGCGCGTACGCGAGCGCGAATTTAGCATGGACTGTGCCGTCTGGCAACGACAATAAATCTGCAGCACTTCCTGACCCTCTCATCTTTTTTCACCCTCCTACAACCAACAAAACCACCACCCTTTCTTGACGTCTTGGACAGAGGCCTCTGATACCCTGGTGTTCTCGATACTCCCTCTTTCGCTTTATCTTCTTGCTCCCGTGCTGCGTGTCCACCGCTTTGACGGCTCCAACAACCAGCGCTACCTCCCCCTTTATCCTCACTGCCGAATTCAGGCGCTATGTTCGTGAGGAAGCGCGGTACGTCCATCGCAGACGCGTACCATGAATCTTTAGTCTTCTAACGGAATACAGATGGGCGCCAGGAGCGCGTCCAGTTCGACAAGATCACGGCCAGAGTGTCGAGGCTATGCTATGGCCTCGACATGGACCACGTTGACCCGGTCGCCATTACCCAAAAGGTCATCTCTGGTGTGTACGGAGGCGTTACAACTGTGCAGCTTGATGATTTGGTGAGATCTTACACCTGATATTCCCGCTCGCTTGTCAATCGCTAACGTGGTCATCACCAGGCCGCCGAAACTGCCGCCTACATGACTGTCACACATCCCGACTATGCCATCCTTGCTGCCCGTATTGCAGTCTCCAACCTCCACAAGCAGACGAAGAAGCAATGGTCTTCAGTCGTCAGCGATCTCTACCACTATGTGAACCCCAAGAACGGCCGCTTGTCCCCGATGATTGCGAAGGAGACGTACGATTGTGTCATGAGGCACAAGGAGGAGCTTGATTCTGCCATCGTTTACGACCGCGACTTCAACTACCAATACTTCGGCTTTAAGACCTTGGAGAGATCCTATCTTCTCAAGCTTGATGGCAAGATTGCCGAGAGACCACAGCACATGATCATGCGTGTTGCCGTTGGCATCTGGGGTGACGATGTTGAGCGCGTCATTGAGACGTACAACTTGATGTCGAGCAAGTGCTTCACCCACGCTTCGCCCACATTGTTCAACGCCGGTACTCCCCAGGCACAGCTGTCGTCCTGCTTTCTCGTCGACATGAAGGAAGACTCTATTGAGGGCATCTACGACACTCTGAAGACCTGCGCCATGATATCAAAAATGGCCGGCGGCATTGGTCTAAACGTCCACCGCATCCGTGCCACTGGCTCCTACATCGCCGGCACCAATGGCACCTCCAACGGTGTTACCCCTATGCTCCGCGTCTTCAACAACACCGCCCGCTATGTCGACCAGGGTGGCAACAAGCGCCCCGGTGCCTTTGCCATCTATCTCGAGCCCTGGCATGCCGACGTCTTCGAGTTTTTGGACCTCCGCAAGAACCACGGCAAGGAGGAGGTCCGTGCCCGTGACCTTTTCCTCGCCCTTTGGATCCCTGATCTCTTCATGAAGCGAGTGGAGAAGAACGGTGACTGGACACTGATGTGTCCCAACGAGTGCCCGGGTCTTGCCGACTGCTATGGCGAGGAATTCGAAGCCTTGTACGAGAAGTACGAGCGCGAAGGCAAGGGTCGAAAGACCATGAAGGCCCAGAAGCTCTGGTATGCCATTCTCGAGGCCCAGACTGAGACCGGCAACCCTTTCATGCTCTACAAGGATCATGCCAACCGCAAGAGCAACCAGAAGAATCTCGGCACCATTCGAAGCTCCAACCTTTGCACGGAAATCATTGAGTACTCGGCCCCTGACGAGGTCGCCGTCTGCAACTTGGCGTCCCTTGCTCTCCCTTCTTTCGTGAACTACAACGACGGAATCTATGACTTCCAGAAGCTACACGATGTCACCCAGGTTGTTGTTCGCAACCTGAATAGGATCATCGACGTCAACCACTATCCCGTCCCGGAGGCTCGCAACAGCAACATGCGCCATCGGCCCATTGGCCTCGGTGTCCAGGGTCTTGCTGATGCATTCTTGGCTTTGCGACTGCCGTTCGAGTCGCCTGAGGCTCGTGAACTGAACAAGAAGATCTTCGAGACCATCTACCACGCTGCTCTCACCATGTCAGTGCAGCTAGCCAAGGAGGAGGGCACCTATTCGTCTTATGAAGGCTCCCCAGTCTCACAGGGCGTCCTTCAATATGACATGTGGGGAGTCAAGCCCTCCGACCTCTGGGACTGGGATTCTCTCAAGGAACAGATCAAGCAGCATGGTGTGCGTAACAGCTTGCTCGTCGCCCCCATGCCAACCGCCAGTACTTCCCAGATTCTGGGCAACAACGAATGCTTTGAGCCTTACACCTCCAACATCTACCAGCGTCGCGTCTTGGCTGGTGAGTTTCAGGTTGTCAACCCTTGGCTCCTCAAGGACCTCGTCGACATGGGCTTGTGGTCTGATGCCATGAAGAACCGCATTATTGCTGAGAATGGCTCCGTGCAGAACATTCCCAACATTCCCGCCGAGGTCAAGGCCCTGTACAAAACCGTCTGGGAAATTTCCCAACGTACCGTCGTTCAAATGGCCGCCGACCGTGGCGCCTTTATCGACCAGTCCCAGTCCCTCAACATTCACATGAAAGACCCGACCATGGGCAAGATCACTAGCATGCATTTCGCAGGCTGGAAGCTAGGGCTGAAGACCGGCATGTACTACCTGCGCACGCAAGCTGCTGCTGCCCCCATTCAGTTTACTGTCGACCAGGAGGCGCTGAAAATTGCCGACAGCAATATCAGCAGTAAGGTCCTCAACAAGAAGCGCGCGCCGCCGCCAGGTCATATTTCATCTCCTTCCACGAACCTGGGCCCGAGGCCTATGTATGCAAAGAAAGAAGAGGGTTCTTCCCAAGACAACGGCATTCCTACGCCTAGCGTCACGCCTCCTCGGACGGCGCCTGCCCAGAAGCCCGACAACATGAAGGCTGATATTGAAGAGGGCGGTAGCCCCCGCGCTCTCCCTATGGAGCCTGCCGATAAGCTCAAGATAGAGGAGCTTCAGACCCCCGGTAGCAAGACCCCCGATGCCGAGGATAAGGCAGAAGACAGCAAGGAACGTGAGATGGATATCTATTCTGAAGCTGTTCTTGCATGTGAGTTGTTTGCTACACCGTGCCCTAGACAGATTCTGACATCCCGACAGGCAGCATTGAGAACCCTGAGTCTTGCGTCATGTGCAGCGGTTGAAACACGAATGCAGTGGACTTGATGGATCTGACGGTTGATGACACGCTTTGATGGTATACAAGAGGTTTGCAGCATTTGGGTATCAGGATCACGGGGGTATTTTACTTTGCGGGCTCAAGGGTGGCATTGGTGATTTCCACCCTTTGCATATTATGTCGGGTTTGGGATGCTCTGATGGTTTGCAGGGATCACAGCTTCTTACCCTAGACTATGTTGTTCGTTTTTCATCGAGTGCGTAGGCATCTTGTTGCAAAGTTTTCCGGCGTTGGGATGAGAACTGGGCCAGTCGCCTCAAGTAGCATAATTTACGAGTGTCTATGCCAATGTCCCTGCTTTAGAAGCCTGCAACCCTTCGCTGTTCTCTGCGAGGGTTCTTTTTATGATCATCGCCATCGGCGTCTCAAGCACGTGGCCAAGACAAGCTTTTCCGTGGCTGAAGACCTAGTGAAGCTGTCTCTACGCAACGTGAGTTACGCGGGCGAGGCTATCGACTTTGTTAGCAACGAAGCCATCGTTAACGAGGCTGATAGCTATAATAGCATATACGTCTAACCTAGATACTTTCGCTTAGCGTGTCGAGGTTAGCGCGAGCAGTTATTCCGGACCGTAAGGTACGTAGACTACGAAGCTACTAGACTGGGCGCTGACCGAGGTACTTTTACTGCTTTTCCCCCTACTGTGAAAATCTCTATTGGGTGGGCTCGAAACCTCCTCCACATGATCATCGCCATAAGGGGCACTGCAGAGGCCTCCGGAAAAAATGGGCCAGGCCTCGTCTCTTGCTCTTGACAAAACGTCTTCCTGCGCATCGACAAGCGACAACTACTTGTGTCGCAGGAAGGTGACATTGCCGACAGACCACATCATGACCAGCTGAAGATAAGTTGTGTGGTCTCTACAAAAGTGCAGGACTAGCAAAAACTAGCCATCGGCTTGCCGGCGATGGCAGATACTATTGCGGGCCAATGGCATGGGACCAGGCACGAATAACCCTCTGGCAACATTCGAGAAACAGGCCCACGCTGTCGTATAGCCCCTGGCCTTTCATGTTTTCGCGTTCAGACTCGTTGTCCTCTGTAAGTCAAACTTCACCTCGGTGATTTAGGGTATCGCTTGTCCACAGTACATATTGCTGCTGCGTTTGGCTTCCCACTTTTGCCTACCTACAATTGTTCTCGGGGCCGAAATCTGCTGTTCCACCCTGCTCGTTTCATGTTTCGTTGCTGGCTTTCCGTAAAGCGCACGTCTTTCTCAATTACTAGCGTGCCATGGGCCGCTCATTTCTTGTTTGTTTCAAGCTCTTACCCATGATAGTATGAGAAGTGTCACGGGCAGAGACAGAATTGATTTGACTGTGTAGATGATACAAGCTAGGTTAGTCAGTTCATTGGCGCCAGCGCCTATATGAAGGCATACGGCGCTCAAAAGTGCTTTTGAATGGAAGGTCGCAGATGCAAACACCACCTTCGAAAGGCGACCTTTCTCAAGTGAGGAAAGCAGGGGCGCAACGATCAGCACATGGGGTGTCAAGTGATTGGGCGAGGTGTGCAGGGATAACACGTTCCTGTCGATTCGCGAAGCCCAAGGTGTCAGGGAGGTAAAAATAAGGTACGGTGAATGGGGCTTGAGGGGCTTGAGGGGCTTGACGATCTCCATTTGTACCGTGTTGGTCGCCTGTCTTGGTAGACTGACACGATATGATGTATGATGCCGATTAGTTCAGTCGTCGAGAATCATCACCGCGCCGAAATATGTAAGGTAGATACAGTGACTGCCGATGTCGATGCCGCAAGCGCCGCAAATTAAGTCATGTCGGAAGGACGTATGGGAAAACCAACCATAGTAGAGTTGAAGACGTCAGATGTTCCCTTTGTGGCTTGGAAAACGGCTGGAGGTTCAATAGCGCCAGGTAGATGTGCCCCTGATAGGCATGGTCATATGCCAGCCTTATTCTCTCTTGATCAAACCGGGATACTAAAGGATCTGGTTTGATTGTGATGCGCAGGAGGCCACGGTGAGCTAGCCAGGGCGATGACTGACAGCGCGGTTCTCTTGTCGGATTGACGAAGTTTTCTCCCGGTACAGCCTGCGATCTATGATGCACCCAGATCAGGCCAAGGAAATGCAGGGTACTTAGACCAGGGCCCTCGAGAGTGAAGATGTCGAATCGAGAAAGGCTCGCTTGGTCGGAATGGCCCCTGGCAAGCTGAACGTGGATCATCAGGGCTGGGGTTGTGTCGGTTCAGTGTTTACATTCAAGTACTATGTAGAGAAAACTCTTGTGGAAGAACAGGTGGTGCGGGTGGGTGGGGACCTGGCGGCCTTGCCGACACACTACCTCAGGTACAGTGTTCCCTTACTACCTTATGCTACCTAGGTGAGCTGACATGCTTAGTATACCTACGTGCGTGAATACCTCGGTACGGATATATTGCCCGTACTGCTACACAGTTCTCCATCCAACGCGCCGCCGACGTGTCGTCCAAAGCTTAGAGGAGGTGTGTCCTGAAGGCATCGATCAAGACGCATCTAGGTTTGGATTAGCTCATATACGCAGTAGAAGAAGTGCAGCGATAATTCTCAAGCTCCGGTGTGAGTGGGCCCTTGGCTCTATGTGCGCCGTGGGGTGCAACTCCAGTCTCCCTGTCCACCTCAAATTGATGCATCCTCCCTGTCTTTCCTTTTCGCCTAGGTTCGTCCAATCACATGAGAATGTACAAACGGGGGGTCGCAGAGACACAACATCACGATGCGGATGCTGGGCCATTGGCCAATCACAGAGAAGTGGCCTCCAGTGATTGACCTCATGCCCTTGTGCAAGGGCGATAATAAGTACCACGCCCCTGACCTTGCGCAATACGTAGTAGCTTTCCTTTCGCTGATTCTGAACCATACTTCCCGTCGACTAGGTAAAGTACCGACGGGCATTGCTTGTTTGCAAAGGAAGTCATCTACTGAGAATCAGGCTCACCCTCAATCTGGGTATTGTTGACCTCTGCCTCTTCCTTTCGGGCGTATTAAAACACACTTCTGCAGTCGGGAGTGTCACTGCCAATTTTAATCCAACCTCAGATGGGCTGATAATCTCCATTTTTCTGACGTAGGCAGAGAATGCGACAAAAGTAGTTCCCCCGGGGCCAGGAAAACAGACAAACAGTTCTGCAGGCATGCGGTGTCGTCGCCGCCGGCAGGTAACATCTTCTTCCCCTTAGATACCGCATCATTCCCCGACCAGGACATGGGCCTATGCTGGTCTCGTTAGCTCAGCTGGAAGCTCCAGAGTGGTAGTCTAGAACGTGGCCCCGGCCCTTCAATTATCTCTCGGGAGCGACTGGCTTTGACAGCGTTGGCGCGGGACAGAGGAAGTCAAGCTGTGTCTGAGCTTTTTTTGGATGGGAGTGCGACAAACAAAGGCACAGACGTCCATTGGCCACATCCTGACGATGTTTGACTTGCACAACCAGCTGCTCACTGTTTTTGCGTCGAGATCCCAAGGGGTTAGGAACCGTAGAGTCGCAGTCGGTGAAGTCAGTGAAAGTAGCCAGGCGGTCAGAAATACTGGACTAGAGCTGTCAGGCACCGGATCGGTGGGCCTAGGGCCTTGTAAGCGTTAGAGTCGAGTCCAGAAAGGTTGAGCCGAGTTTGACCGTAGCTGACGACTTGGGCACGGTACTGCCAGGTCCAGCTTGGCCGGGATGTCTACATTGCACTAAGATAAGGTGCGGATCAAGCGGCACCACCCCTCTTCGGGACGCTCCTCGACTGCTGGGCCTTTCATATTCAGCTTCCTTCAGCTTCTATTCGTTGGCTACCTTAGTGCATCGTGCGCACCAGGGCAGGCGTGCGAAGGCGTCTTGGGCGAAGCAAGCCCGAGACAGGTGAGTAAACATGGTTGAGTATGAGCAAGACGGGCAGGTCTTCGGGGCGAATGTGGGAAAGGACCTTCATGAGGCGTAATGATGTACGGTGCCAGGGTGTGGGATGGCCATGGCCATGCGTGATGGCATGCCACTCGCAGCTTCCCACGCCCACCTGCCATCTGCAACTTATTAAACACTGAGGCAGCTCCTTCCTCTTGTCTTGCCCTGCTCTGGTCTCCCCCATCTCGCTTAACTCTGCGTGGCCTTGCTTCCTCAGAAACGCGTAGATACCTAAGCGGTCGACCCTCACGACCTTTACCGAGATATTTGACCGTCTCGTACACTTGTCCATCTTCAACAACAGCCTCAGATTCCTCCCTCCACTTTCACCCTCACAACAATCCTAAGGACCACAAGTTGCCTCACGAGGCACCACAATAACTTCAGTAGGTAAGTTACTGAGATACTGGGATTCACATGGCTTTGCCCTTCCAGCTATTGGCCACACTCCCTTTGCACCTTCCTCACCACAGCACCATACGATGTTCTATCCTGCCTGGCAATTCGGAGTCTTGCCCATTTCCTTCCCAGTTTGGAGTGGAGGTGATCCAAGAAGTGGACTTGCAACACTCACCTGCCCACGGTGCTCTTGTGCAATTTGAGGCCTACTGATCTCCCTCCTTCCCGTCACACTGCACCTTCCTCCAGTTGCAGCTTCCCTAATTGGAGTAACACCCTCATTTCCCTTGCCACCTCTTGGCAGCAACCTATTTACCTTTTCTTCCCTCCATCACCCACCAACTTTCTTTCTCTTCTACTCCCACTTGCGCACCACCTGCAAAATCTTCACAAGCTGTCCAATCGACCAAGTCAACGCTATTCACCAGGAGGTATTGTGCCCCCCCCCCCCAACTTGCTGTCAAAAAAGAAAAAACCTCCATCCAGCTTTGTACCTCATCACGTTCTTTTGTCGCTGCTTTCTTGTGCTGTTCGAATATCTCTAACTTGCTTGCATAGGCCTTTCACCTTACGCAAATTTGCCGTCTTCCGAAACTCACACGCCACAGTCTACAGAATCCACCAACCCAACAGTCGTTCACGATGAAGTACTCTGTCAAGTATATTGGCTCTGGCCTGCTC